CTCCGCGCGCGTCGCGGTTGCTAGGGAGCGGCGCCGGAAGTGGCGGCGCGGCCATGGGCGCGGCGTGAGGGGCGGCGCGGCGGCCGGCAGGTGAGAGCGGCGCCTTCCCCTTCCGCGTCCCCCTCCGCGTTGTCGCGACAGGCCGCGGGGTCGCGACACGGCCTGGGGGGAGGGGAAGCCGCCTCCCCGTGGACCGCACCCGGCGAGCGGGGGCGGGGGCGGAGGCGAGGCCGTGGCTGTCGCGACATGGCGCGGCACGTCGCCTCCCCAACAAAGACCGGGGGCAGAGGCAAAAAGAGGGCGCGAGGGGGCGAAGCAGTCGCGCGACGGCGCCAGCGGCGCCGCCTCCTCATCTTCATCGCCACCTCCCCCTCCTCCTCCTCGCGGCTGTGTCCCCGGGAAGCGGCAGGGCCGCTGTGCCCTAGGGAAGGAGCCTGGCGCCCGGGGAGGGTTTAGCTTGTCCTCTGCCACGGGCGACCGCAGGGCTGCCTCATGTGGCCCTTGCTTGAGCTCTGGGGAAGCCCAGCCTCCCTGCTGATGAAGTTTTGAACACTGGGCTAATCTCTGGGGGGTTGGACTAGATGACCTCTGAGGTCCCCCCCRACCTTAAGCATTCTATGATTCTCCAGGTCTTTGCAGGGCACCTGCTTGCAGGGTGGAAGATTCCCCAAGGAAAATTAAGTCGGACTAAGTTATATCACTGAAAGATGGGTATGTTTTCTATACACGGTAACGTGTTATTTTCCTGTGAGTCCTTGTCTGCAGGTGTGAGCAGTTGTACTATGCATGCAAAATCACAAGGTTTTATTTATGTACTGGGTAAATAACTAAYTGTTAGATAACTAAATTACCTCCATAAACTGAGGCCTATTTTTAGTCTACTGCTACATTGGCAATTCTTGTATAGCGTCAGGGATGTGTAAGGCCCGAAGTTCCCAAAATGGGAGAAGAGCAATGCTCCTGTCGTGTTTCATTAGTGACAGGAGTGCAGTTTGCTCTAACTGGATTTTAGTGTGGCCTTCCTGTGAGTGACTGTGGAGAGGTGGCTCCTCAGTGTGTGGAGCCTTTCAGGATTGTGCTTTGAAATAAAGGGCTCTATAGGATGGGTACCACAAGAGTTTCCTTCTAACTGTTATTTTCCACAAGTTATTTTATTAGGGCACTGGTGTGAAGCAGCTGAAGCGCAGTTTGCAGCTGACACGTGCAGTGCTTGCTGAAAATCATGACCCCTTCTGCTTCACCTGGTAGGTGGGGTGGGGTGGTACGAAGCAAAGGTGCTGAGGTCGTGTGAGGGATGCAGGCAGGTTTGGGGTGTGCCTTCTATCAGGTGCCCTAGAGCATCAAGTCACTGCTGCCACCTTTGGTATGTGGCCCTTCCTTCCCCCMCTTCTCCTCCTTTTCCCCCCTTYCCCCCATCTCACACCACTACCTCCTCTGGGCATTAGGAATCCAARCGCTTCTGCTGGCAGAAAAAAGAGTGGGAGCCCCAGTTCTTGGGAATCATTATCTTGTAAAAATCAATGCCTTGTGGAGTTCTGCAGTTAAACTGACTATGAGGAAAAAGAATTGTGGGCACTAGCTCTAGGATGGACTGTGCCCTCCAGGAAGAGAGAGCCTGTGGGGTGCCGCTTGCTGACAGATGGRTGTCCCATGTACATTTGGTTTCGAAACCAAAGACCCCTTGAATTCCAGTCCTGTATCTTAGTTGCAGAGATTGCGTTGGTTACTTAGTTGCATTAATTACATTGTCACATTAGTAAAGATAATTTGGAGTTTTAAGTGGCTTTTTTAACCAGTGGGAGCAGTTGATGGTGTTACACATGTGTATCACTCCCGCACTTTCATGACACATGGATTATGTTCTGGAGAGAGGCACATGCCAAGGAGTGTGCTCTCATCTCCAAGAGGAGAGCAGGAATTATCCGAGGTGCTTTTAAACCAACTCACAGGTTGTCTCTTGAGTCAGCACTTCCCTGTACTGAAAACTCACTGGGCAGCAAGTTTAAAGCTGGTCTCTGGAGCGCAGGGCTGAAAGACTTCAGCATTGCGACTTGATTGCCGTAGCCGCCCGCCCTTGGCTTTATCGGTCCTGTCATTAGCTCATTGATCTGTGTGTGTTTGAGCTTTCCGTTGCCCTCCCGGGCTCCCACTGCGCTGCGTGTGACGCAGGGCAGTGGCTCTCAAAGCCGGCCACGCGGGATGCGCTCGGGTGAGGAGGCGCAGTGGGAAGGGGATCCCCGTGCGCCAAGGGAGAAGGCAAGACGGGGAGTGCAGAGCCAGGGCCAGGACGCTGCACTAAACTGCATGAAGCCCCGAGCAGCCAGTCCAGCCTCGCACAGGGCAGGACTCGGAGCTTAAGGCAGGATGAGAGGCCTGCCGAGGTGCCTTCCAAGCCCAGCAAGCCTGTGGTTCCAACGGAAATAAGAGGCCGACAAGTTAAGAGGTCTAATGTAGGAAGTGACATCTAGGAGTCAGGAGTTGAAATGCAGTTTGTAAGGACTCTTTTTAACAACCTTGGTTTTGGGAAATCCTGCTTTTGAGGGTTTAATGACATCAGTGTATCCTCCCTGCAGCTAGAGCAAGCAGCAAAATCAAGATTGCATGAGCTACAGAAAAGACAGAAATACAGAAAAGAAAGAGAGTAACATTGTTTTTCTTCTTTTCCATGTAATATAGCAAATGTGATTCTTGATTTGATGAGTAAGGAACTTCTCTTGGAAAAAGGATTTTTTCTGTTTGCAGTCACTGACTGGAATTATCTGTAAGGACTCTGACTTCAAAACAGACCCCCAAACCATGTGTAATACAAGCAAAAATTTGAAGCAATAAAATGTCTGTGCTCTCTGCTTTGTTCTGGAGATGTTACCACCCAGTAAGGCTGCGATACTGATTTCTCTCCTCAGCGTACATTAAGGAGACACTTGAGCCGTGTGCCCACACAGAACAAGTGGAGTAGCTGGGAAGATCCATGCAGCTGCAGAAGGTGAAGTGTGGAAGATCCTTGTAATTAGTGTTGCTTCTGTCCAGATGACAAATGTAGGTTCCAGTCTGAAACTAAGSCATTGCTTTCCTCAGTTTTAGGTTGAGATTTGCTTCTTCCATTTTACTTAAGCTAAAGCACTCCATAGATGCCTCTTTTCTCCTGCAGCCTGCAATTTTGCTGGTTTGGGTTCTCCCCTTCTACTTCACCTCTTAAACCTTTCTGTATTAACAAGTTGATTCTGTTTTAGGATAATGGCAGGAAAAGTGAAGTGGGTCACTGATATAGAAAAATCTGTTCTCATAAACAACTTTGAGAAAAGAGGCTGGATTCAGGTGTCAGAAAATGAAGATTGGAATTTTTATTGGTAAGTACATTCATTTGTGAAGTATTTTAATATCCTACACTAATACCATTAATTATATTAAAAAAAGCTTATTTAAAAATAAAAGATGCACAAATTAGCATGAATTTAGTGAAGTGCTCCTAAGAGTRTAACATAGTTACATTGCTCCTGATATTTCATCTAGCATTCCTGGTGCTCAGTTCAGCTGTGTGCGGGTCGAGTCGTGCATCTGTGCAGGCCTGCTGAAGTCATTAAGATTCCTCGGGGTACAAGGCCTCCTATCTGCATGGACCCATTCCCATGCTATTAACCTCAGATATCTCTGCAGTTTGCCAAAGGTTTTGTGAGAGAATGGAAAATCACTGCCCTATCAAAGGCAAATCACTTTGGGGAGTAGGATTTTTTTTTTCCTAAGAAAAAACAAGCAAACCAAAACAAAAGTAGGGAAAAGGCTGCATTTTCTGTGGATTCCCTTTCTTCGTTCATTCGTTCGTGTGTTTGTTGTTGTTGTTTGTTTTTAATGTGATACCTGATTTCATTCAAACTTATTGTACCTAGTAAGTACAGTTTTTCGACTACTGCTGGTGAGGGTTTGTGGCTGAGGAATCTTTGCATGTTTCTTTCCAAAGCTTCCAGCAATATAACGTAAGTGAAAGGACCCAAGAATATAAGGTTGCTATATATAATACTCCTTTATCAAATTGTCAGACTTGCCCTGTTAGCAGAGTGTAATCTCTTGTAACAGAGATCTCAAGAATTGTACATTTCTCCTCTTTCATGATATGGAGAGCTTATATGGAGACTAATTATTCAGCTTCTCAGTACTTAAAGTGAATGATGGGATCTAATCAAGGCCATGGTGAATATAGGAGAATAAATAACCTGCCTTTTTATTTGGTGAAATATTGCCTTAAAATGCAGCAGTCTATTAAAGATAAGGCAAACTAATATTTATTTGAGTAAATCAGGCAATTGGTCTTTCGTTTTCTGAATACAACAGAACGGCAGCTTGTACTGCAAATTTTATATTTGTTGTTAACAACTGATTTAAATTGGTAGCATTCTGGTAATCCGCTCATGCTTTTGGAATGTGGTTGGGGGGAGGCGTGGGGAAACAGGTCACTCACGGAAACTCTTGTGTGACTATTACTTCATTATTTCTCTTTTCCTAAAATAATAGTGTAGCAGACTGGAAATGTAAGAATATTTCGTGGATGCCATTAATGTCAAAGCTCTTATACAGAAAATTCAATGTATCCATGGTTCTGCTCTTGGAGAAAGTGTTTTGATGACTTCTCACTGTAGTGCTCTGAGCTGGCATTTACTGCTGTTCTTTGTAAGGGCTCTGAATCACACTGCTCAATGAGTGTGCTTGAAAGCTTTTAGAATCCAAATAGCAGATAGGGAGTAGGAGGTTGTTTTCATGACTTTTTTTTCTTTCAAGAAAAGCTGAGTTTCCAGGGAGTGAAGTAATAGATACAGAAAGACGCTGCTGTACCATTTTAGTGTCTGTTAGTCTCTTTTAGGCCATGCTGGGGGTTGACCTTAATGTCAACAATCTGATACGAGCCAAGGTGTCAGATGCCTTTTCTGATCATCTGCCCCAAATTCAGCAGTGGTAGAGGGATCAATCAAACCTGTGGCATAATTTGGTTTCTGTAACAGAAATTGGGGATATGTTGCGTTGTCACTGCAGCAAAGCATTATACCATACAGAGAAATCCTAAACAGAGAGGAAAAAAGAATCACGTATAAATAACAAATAATAGAAATTTCAACTTTGTCCTCCTACGTTGTGTTTCTTGGGAGAACTTACTTGACATCTGTYGTTTCTTTCAGGATGAGTGTACAAACAATCAGGAATGTTTTCAGTGTGGAAACTGGTTACCGCCTTTCCGATGACCAAATTGTCAATCATTTCCCAAACCACTATGAACTGACCAGGAAGGATTTGATGGTAAAGAATATCAAGCGATACAGAAAGGAACTTGAGAAAGAAGGGAGTCCTCTTGCAGAAAAGGATGAAAATGGGAAATATGTCTATTTGGGTGTGTAGTTCTCATTATCCTCATTCACAGTGTTTCCTGTGTGGTCAATAACCTGTTGACCTTGTACCTTCAGACAGTAGGAGAGCAGCACATTAATGCACAAATGCAGTAGCAGAACAGCACGTTAATGTACAAATTAGAATAATTTGTGTCTTGGTGCTTCAGTGCAATGCAGTCGGGAAGGAAAACTACTGCTTGCAAGAGTGCACGCAATGGAAGCCGTCTGTTTTCACAATCTGCTTTTGGAGATCCTATCTAAAACCAATACGTATGTGAATCATCACTGGGAAGTAATTCAGTTGGAGCCCAGCTCTCTATTTTTCTTTTCAGTGGAGATGGGATTGAATTAGCGCTTCTGTGCATAAAGCTCTGAACCTTTGATGTGCTGGAGTATTAAAGTGACTGCCTTCAAATGCTTTGGCACTTACCGTCAATCAATTAAAGTATACTCAATACTGATTTTTTTTGCTTCATTCTGCAAATATAAGAACCTTCTTCCCACTCCCACCGCCCTTTTCCTACTCTTCCTTCCTCTCAAATCTGTCACTAGAGCTAAAAAAGAAGCCCTAGGAAAGGGAGATGGATACAAATAGTGATAGTGAATATTTCCAGTGGAATGTTATATCTTCAGATCTCTTCTCAAACGGAGCTTGAGGAGGTCATGGCTGGTATTTGACAAACTGAGAGAAGCCAGTGGAACTTGCTTAAGATCTTTTTTGAAATTAGACACAAAACAGCAAAAAAGATGGAGAGCTTCTGCTTTGCTGTCCTGGCACCACAGCAGGGCAGGCTGCTTCCTCTCCTGTGTGATTAGGCAGSAGTGCTCAGGGAGGAGCGCAAATCCAGGTTATAAGAATGACCTGGCTTTCTAAGTAGTGAAGTTCTTAAAGGAATTTACAGTCATCAATATAACATTAACTTTATTGATATTTTAAATGGGAGAATGTACTGAAATAGGCTTGTTACTAGGCTTTTTTTTTTTTTTTACTGTTTTTACAAAGGAAGATCGGGAAGTAACGTACTTAGCAGTAAGATTGGTGATGGAACTGAAAGGCTCTGGAAAAAAAAAAGATCTGGAAAAGAGCTGGAGATTCTTTAATTCCAAGGTGAAAAAAAGTGCACCTAGAAACTTTATACTGGAGCAAAAACTAAAATAAAATCTTTGCAGGAAGGGTATGGACAGAACCAAATGAACAAGTTTTTCAGAAGACAAATTTAGGGGAAGCTAGGGATCAAGTGATGACTGCTAGAAAATAAAATTAGAAAAATCATAGAGGGGAAAAAATTGTGTTGGCGTTTGGGAAGTGCTGAAATTAAACAAAAATGGGGACATGCTAAAGCATCTTACATCTTGAGAAAGTGAAATTAAGAAGTTGTTAGCCATGTGAAAATGAAGCCATGCTGTAAGGATGAGACTGAGAATAATCTGACTGCAGAAGTGAGAAACAGTCTTTCCTTGAATTTCAGTAGTTACAGGAATACTGACTGTAGCAGTAAAGGAAGAATGAGTAATGGGAGGTAAACATGGGTTTTAAAATTACCACCTGCATAGATGAAGCAACATCAACGTTTGGATTTTTGCATGCACAAGTGATGCACAAGATGCTTTGAAGGATTGTGAAAGCTGATACACAAAATTGAGAAAGTTTGCTTATGAAAATCAAGTTGCAATGGTATAGTACTCTGTAATCACACAGTATTTAAACATATTTAAACAGAAAAAAAATACTTGTGTGTTAGGATCTGTTAATTTGAAGCTATTAATTACTAGTTATTTGTTTAAGTAAAAATTGCAAGCTTGAAGTTAAATAACGTAAAAGACAATATGAGTGTTACTGAAATCGGATCACACCAGACTAGAAAAGTGGAAAGCAGCAAAATATTTTCAGTCTGTGTGTTTAGATACTAGAAGTCGTTTTCTCGATTTTGCATCTCTTTTTTTTTTTTCTTTTTTTTCTTAATTAGATTTTGTACCTGTTACGTTTATGCTTCCTGCTGACTACAATCTCTTTGTTGAAGAATTCAGGAAAAATCCCTCCAGCACTTGGATTATGAAACCCTGCGGGAAAGCTCAAGGGAAAGGCATATTTCTTATCAATAAACTCTCTCAAATTAAAAAGTGGTCTCGAGACAGCAAAACATCTTCGTAAGTGCTGCAGGAGAAAGTAAACTGCGTATGGTACTTTCTATAATTAGATACCTTACACCAACATGCCAATTGTTTAATGMATAGGAAAAGTATTCCACTTATCCCTATGTCATTAGTAGTTAGTTTTACATTTGCTCTCCAGTATTGGACTTCCTTCTTCAAACATGTCTTAATGTGATTCTGGTGCAGGGAGGTACAAACAGCTGTTCAATTAACTATGCTCTATAAATATGACTTTAATGTTGCCGGGGAAAAATGGACAAAAATAAAATGTTCTGCTCCATGATATTAAATAACAGGAAGTAAGAGAAAAATCTTCCCCTGGGCCATTTGAATCATGATTTTATTTAATATGTGTTAATTTGCGTTTTAAATTAGCGTAATGAAAGGATGTGCTTATATGAAGAAAATATGTTATCGGCTTGGAGCAGAAAGCAATATACCTTGTGCTCATGATCCACTTCCAAGTGGGTGAAACAGGCTCGCTATTTATGTTTCCTCTGACTAGTAGAAGTCTTGCTCAAACAGCTGATAATATATTTTTGTTGTTATGAAGGGGCTGACTGAACTTCAACTGAGTCATTTTCTATTTATCTTGGAATCTGAAGACTCACAATCCAAAAGTTATCTTTTCAGTAGTTTACAATTGCACAGCGAGCATAAATCCGAAAATTCTAGGAATATAAGAGCTTGACTTAAAAGGTAGTTTAATTGTATGTGTAATTGGTGCTCATCTGAACCACGAGAAGCTATAGGGACYCTTGAAGCAAAGACTAGCACCCTGAACTCCTTTGAAATGGCTCTGTTGGCTACAGCTTTAACTTCAGATCTGTGTTTCAACGGGCAAGGAATCTTGGTCACCTGCATCATCGTCTTGGCAGTTTTGCCACAGGAGCTTGATGCCAGCTGTGTATTATTAAGCAGTATAACTTTGTGCACTGTGTTGGCAATACGGTTTAATATTTCTGCAAGCCCTATGCTTAGGCTGCTTCTGTAAAAGAAAAAACTAGCCAAGCCCTGTAATTGTCACATTCTGAAACATRGTGTGTGTTTTTCAGATTTGTATCTCAGTCCTCCAAAGAAGCTTATGTGATTTCTCTCTATATCAACAACCCCTTGTTGATTGGTGGAAAGAAATTTGACCTGCGTCTGTATGTTTTGGTATCTACCTACCGTCCACTGAGGTGTTATATGTAAGACTATGCATATATATATATATATGTATTTGTATTTTGCTGTGAATGCATGTTTAATGTAGTCAAAATAATATTGCCTATGTTGCACAAAGAAATTTAACAGGCACTTGGTATCCTAATGTGCTCTTTTCCTTATCTCTTGTTGGCTTTTAACATTTTAATTACTTTTTGCATTTAAGGTATAAACTTGGATTTTGTCGGTTTTGTACAGTGAAATATACGCCAAGTACAAGTGAACTGGATAACATGTTTGTTCATCTTACCAATGTTGCCATTCAGAAGCATGGGGTAAGTGTGCTGTGTTTTTAGTGTCCCTCTTATATCTTTTTAAATTGTCCAAAACCTTGGGAATAAAAAGATTTACTTGTTATATTTTTTGTCATCCCTCAAGCAAAATGCTTCAATTTGACTTTGCAAATAAATAAAATTTTGTAAGATTGCAGATCCCAAGTATGCAAGATAATAAATGAGATTCAGCGCCACAATAGAACGTGGTTTCTTCAGAATTGGCCTGCGGGAATTGGAAGCAATATTTTTTTTTAAGTCTGCCATCATTAAAATGCTAATATGATACTTAGCGATCGGTTCTGGGAGCAGTGGAATTAATGAAGCCTGGTTCCTGTGCTTTTATATTTTATAACGGCACTGAAATATCTCCTGCCTGATCTCCCTGCCCTCCTTCTTTCCCATGTAGTTAATTCAACTTTCCTATTCCCAGYGCTTAAGCATCACAGCACCCGCCAGCTCCTTCCTATGCCCCCTTCTTTCTGTGACTCTGAGAGAGGCGACGTGCAGCCCGTGGCCTCCCCCTGCATGAGCCAGAACAGTTTTCTGCCTGCCCTTCCCTTAGAGGCTTTATTTTTATTACCTGCAACTGGCCACCTTGCTCCTAAATTGTGTGGCAACTTAATAGCCCTGAGGGATGAGAGGTGCCATGAACTGATGGATGCCCAGTGCCCTTGCCCAAGCCTTGTTTCTTCAGGGTATCCCCTTAAAAAATACRTTATCTTTAAGAGATGTCCATTATTTATAAACAGTGCCTCAGTTACGGTCATGGATATTCTCTTAAGTAGCACTAATTGTGTTATCTTTTATACCTGATGCTCTTGAAAGAGAATACAGAGATGAAATTCCAAGCTTGTTACATGTGCCTTGTCTGCTTCTGTTCTGTGACACGCGCAGCACAGCAGAGCTGCCTTCACCTGCGCCTTCCTGTAACAACGCTGCACATCTTAAATGCCACTCACTATGGTGATTATAAACCAGAATAAATGTCAAAATATGACATTTGTCGGTACTGCAGATGCCTTCTTAGCTAGGCACCAATTTGTGAACGTTTCAGGCACGTTACGGTGTGACAGGGCATAGGAGAATTAACTGTGAAGAAAACGTGTCCCCTGCTACTCAGAGCATTAACAGTGGTGCTTTTGCAAGTGGCTGGAGCAGGGGAGGCATAGTAGGAAACACATAGGTAGTCATGGTATTACCTGTGCTGCAGAATTTGGTTTTCAATTATTTCCTTCTGTATGTGTGTCTGTAACACAAACAAAACAACAGGATTATTTCTGTTTGTTTTTTCATCTTCAGTTAGCCGTCTTCCAYGGAGACATTTCCCTTTGTTTTGAAATTTTTAATTAAATAGCTGTTATTACGCAAAGCTTTATGCAGTTGCAGTCTATTTTGATTTGAATACTTGTTCTCAAAGACAAAGAGAGTTGAAAATCAGATTCCTGTTCCCTGGCTGAAATCTATGATCTGAAGACATTTCTTTTTTTCCATGGGGCAAGTCCTGAGGCCCATGTCTCAAATTTGCTCAGTCTTTCAAATTTATTACAGGGTAAACTGTAAGAAAGTCCTGCAAATATAGAGGGTTTTCTGAATTTGTTTTAGAGGAGGAAGATTTCATTCCTCAGAGAACTTTTCCTTTTTTTTGCCTCTAGACATCTTGTTTTTTATAATTTAGCAGCCATACACTTGGTAGTTCTTAGAAATGTTCCCAGGAGCATTTTTATACAGCTATTAAGCATATATAGAGAAAATTAGCCATTGTTGAATCAACTACTTCTTCTTTATACCCGAATGCTTTCCTTTTCCATTTTAAAATTTCTATTTTCCAGTTGTATTTTACTAGGAAGTTGTAATAYTACTTCTTAACTTATTCTATTTTAAGGAAAAATTTATTACTTGATTTGTGGTAAGTGATCTAAGCATATAGAACAGTAACAAAAATAGCTATTCATATAGAGGGCAGTTCAAAGTAAAGCTGAAGCCCTTGTGAAGCTGTAAAATAGAGAAGAAGCAGTTTGCTGAGTGYTATTTTTAAAGCAAGGCTCACATGCAAGTGTAAGTGGCCTGCTTTTACGAATGAAGGCAAAACTGCCGAGCAAATTCCAAGTCTCTAGCACTGAGCTGGCTCCTTAATTCTTCAGGATGATTACAATCATATCCATGGAGGCAAGTGGACAGTGAGCAACCTGCGCCTGTACCTGGAAAGCACCCGTGGCAAGGAAGTCACCAACAAGCTCTTTGATGAAATCCATTGGATAATTGTGCAGTCGCTGAAGGCTGTGGCCGTGAGTACACTTTCTGGAAGGCTGCCAGCAGCAGCGTTGTGGCTGCAGCCTGCTCACAAGCATGAGCGTCAGCCGGCCTTCATTTAGAATAGGCCTCCCAAAATAAAGCCGGTTTCCTGCTGCCGTGGATGGTTTCTGCGGCTCTGCGCTCCCATGATCTCCCCGAGCGAGGTGAACTTGAATCTCGAGGGGGTGAGCAAGCTATCTGAGCATATTAAAGTGAATCCATCTCTTGAGGGCTCTGTGAGCCATTTGATGTGACTTGATGCCGCTTTTGTGAATAGCATTAAGTTCTGCCAAGGCTCGTGATGTCATTTCAGCAATAACAAATGTGTCAAAGAGAAAAATAGCTCTGGAGGGCAATTTATCAAACCAAATGTAAGCGTATTASTTCAGCAGAGTTACATAACTCTACTTCCAGCTCTTTTATATGCAACTCATGTAGCTATCAGGAATTTTTACTTGAAAAAAAAATGTAGCGATCCATCTTCTCTGTTTGAGTAACTTTCCAGTGCTTGGGCAATATCCCATGCTTCAGTTAGAGAGCAGGTACTACTCCATGGGTTAGCTGGGGTAAAGAAAGAGCTTATTGACCCCCAAAGAGGGAGGATTGCATATTCCCAGGTACCTGGGCCTGCCATCTTCTGGCACCTTCATGAGTTGTTGACTTAACTTATCTAACTGAAAACTACTTTTTTATTTTTTTTTCCTTTTCTGGATAAATGAGTTTTTGCCTTTTTCATGGATTGAATGACCTCACAGAATCACAGAATGGTTGAGGTTGGAAGGGACCTCTAGAGATGATCCAGTCCAACCCTCCCGTTCCAGCAGGGACACCCAGAGCACATGGCACAGGGTGGTATCCAGAGGGGTTTGGAAGATCTCCAGAGAAGGAGACTCCACAACCTCCCTGGGCAGCCTGTGCCAGGGCTCTGTCACTCTCTTAGTAATGAAGCTCTTCCTCACATGGAGATGGAACTCCTGTGTTTCAACTTGTACCTATTGCCTCTTATCCTGTCATCGGCCACCACCGAGAAGAGTTTGGCCGCTTCCTCCGTACGTTCTCCCCTCAAGTATTTGTACGTATTAATCAAATCCCCTCTCARTCTTCTCTTCTCCAGGCTGAACAGGCCCAGCTCGCTTAGTCTGTCCTCATACGAGAGATGTTCCAGTCCATTAATCATCTTTGTTGCCCTTYGCTGGACCCTCTCTAGAAGCTCCACATCCCCCTAGTCCTGGGGAGCCCAGAACTGCCCCCAATACTCCAGGTGCGGCCTCACCAGAGCTGAGTAGAGGGGCAGGATCCCCTCCCTTGACCTGCTGGCAACATGCTCCTCATGCAGCCAGGATCCCATGGACCTTCTTGGCCACGAGGGCRCTGCTGCCACATGGCTAACTTGTCCACCAGGACTCCCAGGTCCCTCTCTGTGGAGCTGCTCTCCAGCAGGTCAACCCCTAATCTGCACTAGTGAATCTCACTTGAATGTTCAAGAGGACAAGAGAGAGGATGGGGCTCGAAGCTGGAGACCATGGGAGTTGGGAAGCACGGCTCAGCTCAGCCTCCACGATGCAGTTGAGCTAGAAAGCAGATGTGAGAGAGCAAGGGAGCTAATCCAAACGTTAGCAGAACCTGAAAAGAGAAGAAGAAAAAATATTGAGAGGATAGAGGAGGAAATGCTTTGATCAGCTTCAGTACTTCAGTGTCTTTCTGAGAAGGGCAAATGTAATGCAAGATCCTCCTTCTTTGTTCCCCTCCTGCACTCTCTGAAGAAGCTTCTATTTTTAGCCTAGGGGAAGCCTTCTCATTAACCTGTTACAAAGGTTTATTTACAAGATCTGATGAGATTGACGTAGAAGAAAAATCTTCCAGTCCTTCCATACTTCCAGTCCTCAGCAGACACTGTTCGATAACCACCAATTCTCTGCAGCATGAGCATCTAAGTACAACTTGCTCCTTGCTCTGTTTTGGCTTTCAGCAGCATAGTTAGACTCAAGCTATTTATAATTTTAAAATGTATCTGGTAGTTGCTTGGCCTCAAACTCCTGCATAGTTACAGCACTGTAATGAAAGAAATGTCTTTGACCAAGTCTCCTTCATGCTGAAGTTTAAAGAACTCCTGATTTATGTGAAGCTGTGTTATGCAAGCATCAAAACTTCCTGATTTTATCSTGTTACATGAAGGCTTTAAATACCCTTATTACTCTGCAAAATATGAAAACACTTTACAGATGGAAATATGAGGGAAAATTAACCTAATTTAGTGCTTGACATTAATGCAGTCATGAATGTTATAATATTCACTGAGAACTTGGAGAGAGGAAGAAAAAACAACAAAAAGACTATCCTGAATATGCTAGGAAACTTATGTTGGARTTGTAACATTGACAGCTGTTACAGAAGACTTATAATTTAACTGCATGTAATTTTTAGGAAAAATAAGCATGTAATCAGATTATTTGCTAAATTGTTCATTTTGATATCTGTTCTTGTTTTAGCCTGTAATGAATAATGACAAACACTGCTTTGAGTGTTATGGATACGACATTATCATTGATGACAAGCTTAAGCCGTGGCTAATTGAGGTAAAGTTGCAGAAAATACAGAAATAATTTCCTCCTCGCCTTCTTTCCCAGAGTGAAGTTAAGAAGGTTTCAATGCAGTCATTTCCTTTTTGAAAATAAAAATGTCTTTTATTGCTCAGGTAAATTGACTAGGAATTATGTTAAAATAAAATAGGCCATGTAATGACTAAGCAAACAAATACTTTTGTTTTCTGTTTCTTTGATTTTTTTTTTTTTTTTTTTTGGTAGGCTTTTGTTTTACTTTTTAGACCTAGGGTGTCCGTCTAATTGGACTTCAGGGGCTGCCTGAACGTTCACAGCCTGGTCTGATGCTGTGTCAGCAGCTGGAAAGCTGTCACAGGTCCAGTGGAGCATAATGTGGGACTTGTTAAAGCTCAGGGGCTGTCATGGCCTTAGCGTTGCAGGTTGACAGGAAGGAGAGGAGAGACATGCACAGGGTAATGGGGCTGTTTGCAGGCTTTGTGTCTGCATAATTTTCTGAGTGTATTGGTGCTGAATCTTTATGTTCAATGTAATTTTTGTCTAGCTCTCTTCTTCCTCTGTCTTGTCCCCAAAGATGAAAAGTAAGCAGACCTTAAAAAAAAAAAAATCTGTTTATTACTCTAATACCACTTCTTAGTAATAAATGTGGAACACAAGGGGTATGTTAAATGAACATTGTTTTGAGACTTAATTACAACAAGATACAACATAAGCACTTTGAAGAGACAGAGGGAGTATGTTCCTTTGGCTCACAGTTTAACAGTGGAGAACTCAGATTAAGGACATAAATAAGAGTTGTTTACCTCCTGCAGATTTTWATATGCAACAACTGTCGGAGTCACCCAGAGAAAGCATAAGCACTTAAATTTATGACTTTGCTATCCGTTTAAGCTTAGAAAATAAAGCAAAAATCCTTTTCTAGCCAGATGAGTCTGGATGACTCTCATCTCAACAGAGATCCAGGCTGACGCTGCAGTCACGTAGCCGTGTGTTGTTTTGTTTTGAAGTAAAGAGAAAAATGCCCACGGGGGGATTCCTTCGAATGTTTGTGGAAGTGAAAGATGTGCTTTGAGATGCTGATTTCCCAAAGAGTACATATTGTTATTACACATGCTGCCTGGAGAACTCTAAACCACTCAAAAATATTGATGCTGGCTTTTTTTTTTCTCTTTTATAGGTCAATGCTTCCCCTTCTCTTACTTCCAGTACTGCTAACGATCGCATCCTGAAGTACAATCTCATTAACGACACCCTTAACATCGCTGTGCCTAACGGGGAAATTCCAGACTGTAAATGGAATAAATCTCCCCCAAAAGAGGTTCTCGGCAATTATGAAGTCCTGTAAGTTTTTTTTTTTTTCGGTCTTCTCCTATATAAATGCAAATGTCCTTCATTTGCCCTGCCTTTTTTTTTTTTTTTTTAATAAATGCAAATGTAACTCAGACCACAGAGGTAAGATGAATTTCAATCTGTTGGGGGAAAAAAATGGACACAAAGATGTTACTTCACCTTTTGAGTGGGCTGCAACAGCAGCTTTGAAGGTATCAGTCTTCATCAGAGCAGGGCTGGCTCCCCTCCCACCCACCCCCAAACCCTTGGGGATGTTACTTGTCTCATAAAGGAGAGTGTCTTTTACATGTGTAGAACTTGCATTAAGAGGAGTGGAATATGTAGATTTTAGTTAAATAGATAAAAACTTGTAGATAATCAGATAAAAATGTGTCCAATAKCTACAATTTCTCAATCTGTAGAAATGATGCCACTTGGCTTTTGTAATTCACARATGACACAGAGTTGACAGGTACTTTAAGCTACTCCAAAATGTCTCACAAAGAAAGAAATCAAGAAGACGGATCACTTCACTAGGGTGCCTGAAAGCTCTAGGAAGCATTGACAGCAGAATACTGCTTTTTCAATACCACCTTGATTGTCCAGTTTCTCATATTACCTGGAAAAATACCCGGGTGGATCTCAAGCATGTACTTGTCTAGTACACTGGAAATGCCATGTGTGCCTAGCTGGTCATTATCAGCTAGTTCATAGCAGTCTTAAGACTTTTTACATAGGCACTCAACTGTCTTTACTAATATGAATGTTGGCAGAGTTATGATTTAGATTTTAATGGATGTCACGTACATGGAAGCTGTGCATACCTATACAGTAGTGTGACCAGCTGTGCATATTATAACTCTTCAAGGTATAGTAGCATTATCTATCTGCTGGGGTTTGGATAGCAACTGAGAGGTAAGTRTATATCAAGGTTATCCAAGGCCAAAGTAGGCTTCTATATTTGAGGAACTACTTGTCACTGTGGTTAAGTGTTACAAAATATGTATTATTAAATACGTTCGCCTTCAACACTCTATTGTTTGTTCAGCCCATTGATTCTCTGCTCGCTCGGTGATGCAACRGTGGAGGTTTTTAGCACTGTAGCCAGCAATGCTCTGTTTGCTGGCAGTTCAGTCAAGTCTGGAGCTGTTGCTTCACTCTGATGTTCCTGCTTAAGCCGCAGATCTCGGAAGAGCAGTAGTGAGGAGAATTACAGAAGTACGTATGAAGTTTCATGAGCATGAAGTTTCACAACCCAGGAATTTAACCAAAGCTGCCAGATGTCTTTTTTGTTGTTGTTGTTGGTTTGTTTTCTCTATTTTTTTTAATATATAAAAGGTTACTGAAGATACTTTGCTTTGTTCTTTATTGTTACATCACCTGGTGGTGTTTCTTGGAATAATAGTTGAGTGTCAAACTCTCCATATGCAAACCTATGAGTAGAACAGCTTGTATTACATTTCAGTGCAATATACTGACATGGAAGAGAGACTCTTTTCTGTGTAGGGAAGAGCAGAGCAAGGCACTGAACAAACTATCTTATTTTAGATACGATGAAGAGATGGCACAAAGTGATGGGCCTGATCGTGACATGCGAAGTCGTTCTGGGCAATCCACTGGAATAAAAGGAAATCGTGCAAGAGATTCAGGAAAGCCTGTGCTAACCACTTGGAAGTGATGGCAAAGTAAAATCGGTGTCAACGACCTCAGCTCTTGTTGAAATTCAGAGCTGCATTGTTGGTAGGAAGACACAAAGAAGCAAAATGTAATTCTTGAACAGATTGTGATATTTTGCTCTGTTACGTGTGAGTATTATTAGAAGGGGATGATACAGCCTTTAAAAGACGTGAAACAAAGCCTCTAAAGTCAGGAATTGCACCGAAGATGCACTGAATTGCCAGTTAATAACATATATATATGTATATATTGCTATATATAATATATAACTGATTTCATGCTGTATGTGGTTCTGTTAGCCCTCTGAAAGCAATGAATTTGATTAAACTTTTGGAAGAGTAGCTATTCACACTGTGGAGAAACTAACCTTCTTTTAGTGATGATTAAGAGCTTTCTTTAGAGTTGACAGCTCAAATTAGACATTCTAACAGGAACCTCTGGATCATAATTGGTTTCCTAGGAGAGCCTCTCTGTAATCCTCTCAAAACRTGGAGATTCTGTGAAAGGGTGGCAGTGATGAGCATGAGAGCTGTATATTGTCACAGTGATTTCAGTCTCTTGTTCATAGGAAATGAGTAATTAATAAAAATTGCAGTACATGGAGTTGAGGCTCTGGCCAGTGAATGCAGCTAATGATTTATAACCAGTATCACGATCCTAGAAAGCAAATCTTTATGTGCTGAGGGTCTTTTTCCCCTTGAAAAGTTTTGAGCTGCTACATTTCTAGAGGTAGAAAGTTTCATGACTAGAGGGACTGTATCACATGCTATATGCATGTGATGTTTTATATATATTGTAATGCTGTATTGCATTAATTTGTTAGGTATTTATTTTTATTCCGAGATAATACACATCTTTATAGAGAAGCAGACAGGACAACTTCATACTGTAACAAAACTCATTGCTTGTAGCTGATTAGAAATCCTTACTTGAGCCAGAATCTGTTCATGTGTTTGTGCATGTATATAAATGAGTACATTATGTCTGTATATTTTTGTAAACTTTATATGTATGCACTATAACACAAGTACTGTTGCATCTGATACGCCGCCTCTTGTAGCTGTGGTGTCAAAAGCTGTGCTGTGTAGCTACAAGATGTACAGAGCAAAAATTAAAAATAGGTATTTTGGTCTCTTAACAGCGTAGCGTATAAATAAACTCGTGGGTCGGTGAATGGCTGTTGCTTTCACTTGCAGACCCACCAGTTGTTAGGCAGTTATTAGTACGAGCTGCTGTGTGCAGCTCAGACCTTCCTGCCCGCTCCCCGCTTCCTTTGGACAGTGGAGAACTTTGGGGAGGAAGCTGAGGCGGGAGTTAAGCTCCTAAATATCCTCATAGTCCTAATAAACCCCCATGTGGGGTCCGCTAGGTCAGTGGTGCCGCCTGCCATAGCAGGCCAAGCACTTTGCCTTCCTACATGGCAGGCCATTTAACTAAAAAAACCCTTCCAGAAGTTTGGGGTTTCTTCAGAGCATGGAGCAGACCCATCTGTACCCCAGAAAACACTCGTCCCTTTCTTGCTTTGGGAGGACCTCGGAGAGAGAAAGGAGATAAATAATGAAATACCTGCAGTGAACGAGTCGCTCCGAGTGCAATTCTCATTTTAATCATCTTGAATATTCTGTTAAAGGCCAAAAGCCATTGGATTCTCAGGCCTCTGTAATAGCATGCTCAATTTGACTCTTGAATTAAGGTTATGAAAAGAAAAGAATTACCACAAAGTTCATTTTACTGCACAAAGTTCATTGAAATTCTGGGTCTCAGAGCTTTAGGCCTCAGAGCTCTTGGGTTTGGGTTTTATTTATTTATTTATCTATTTATTTATTTATATATTTTAATTCCTTTTTGGGAGCCTTGCTTGTGTTTTGAACTGTGGCAGATAAGCCAGTGTAAATAAATATGTTGTCTGGTATTAGACATTGTGTTAATGATGTGATGTTTAGCAAGCAGATATTTCCAGATTTCCCCCGATGGTCCCTTACTAGTATGTAAAAACATGATAGCCTTAGGAAATATTAAGCTGCAATAAATAGTATTTTGTAGTATGGTTATATTTCCTATAGATAGGTAACAGAGAGGATGTTCTGACAGAAGGAAGATGCATCTTTCTTTCACTTTGTTTCATTTCCGCTGCTTTTAATTCATTTCTCCAGGAATTTGGACAGAAAGGCTTTATTTAGGTCATGCTAGAACAGCACTGGAAAGGCTGCAGGAGAGGGATGGCTCCTGCCCTATCCCTTTTTCTCTCTGATGCAGCCTGTAACTGTGGGCCTGTTTAGGTATGTACCTGTGTACCTCTAGAGGTGTGTGGAGAAATGCAGCTTGTGTTCACAAAGCCCACTTTGCACTGTAGCTTTTGGAGCTTATAGGAGTCGTTACCCGCTAAAGCAGCCGCGGGGACTTCATTGCTGCTGCCTGAGGGGGAGGCTTGATGTGGAAGCAAAACCAGGCCTTGGTAGTCGTGTATGTGGCTCTAGGTGGCTTTGGAGAAGCATGCCAGCAGATGCCTTTTGGCTGTAATTCCACAGACAACCAGAATTCATGGTACCATCGAAATAAGTAGCCCGTTCTTTCAAGCGCGTGTTGTAGCTGTTTCTCTGAGTTGTCAATAGTGTATTTGCACGTAGATAGGGAGTTGAATCGGGGCCCCCAGAGCACGGGCTTGCAGGGCAGACAGACTGGGAATKATATTACTTAAATAAGTCCATTCAACATAAGCAGTGCTTTAATTGTGTGGGGATTTCCAGTGGTTTGAAGAGGGTCAGCTTGTTCAGGGAGAGCTTGTAACASAGCTCTTCCCCTCCTGATCTGTGCAACCTGTGATCATCATAAAGTCAGCACAAGTTGCCTTGCTGCTTTCAAAACCAAGGGTTTCTCTCACAGTATGTGGCAGTTGTATTTCTTTCACATAAGTAATATTTGCAGAGCAATATTTGATCTGGAAGATGTTCGTGCAGCAGGGCTGTTGGTTTGGAACAGACACGTCTTTCTCTGTGACTGCTGTAGGATTGAGCAAGCACATTTTAAGCCTTTTACTTGATATCATTGTAAAATATATAGATATTTTACCATAACTGCCACAGTGTTATTACCTCAATATCTAAACATAAAGTTATTAGTAATTAAAAAAAAAATCAAAATCGGGAGCATGGTTGCCTAATGTCTGTGTTTTTCCTCTGAAAACACAACGCTACTTTGAAGGAGCAGGAGCGGGGCGAGGGGAGGAGGGATGGGAAAGGAAAGCCTGGGAATATYGTGGCAGGCTTGGCTTTGGCGCTCCTTACTGTGTGCCCCGGTGTGGTAAGGTCTACCGCTATGGCAGGCTTTTATACAGCGATAAAGCCTGGGCTTACTCTGGCACCAGTGGGTTTGTGAGGCTCGTGGGCACGGCAGTTAGGGCTCGTGCCCGCTCCAAAGGGGTGCTGCTGATGCTGATGGATAGTAGGAGACCTTACGTCCTGTGTGGACCCCCTCATTCAGAGGCCAAGCGCTCTTTGTGCTTCCCTGAAGACTAATTCTCCCAAAGGGTGGAGGCTGTTTTCGCTCTGGGAGGGCTTAACTGTGCTTGAGTGTGAGTGACTCCGCAGAGCCGAGCTCCTGAGCAGCCTCCTYGGAGCCAGGCCCAGCGAGCGCCGAGCGGGCCTGGCTGCAGGGGAGAGAGGCTGCTCTGAGCTTGGGCAGAGCAAAATAAGCGAGAGGCTGTGGAGTCTCCTTCTCTGGAGATCTTCCCAACCTGCCTGGACGCAGCCCTGTGCCCCGTGCTCTGGGTGTCCCTGCTGGAGCAGGGGGTTGGACTGGATGATCTCTGAGGTCCCTTCCAACCATGAGGATTCTGTGGTTCTAGGTGGCAGTCCCCAAGAGCTCCGACTGCAGCTCGTGCCCACCAGGGAGCCGCAGCAGGATCAGGGTTCCTCAGAGCCTCTCGGCGTGCCCGGGTGGCCGCTGGCTGCGCGGGGACCTTGGGGACAGCGCGAAGGGGCCGGCGCTCGGGCAGGGGCCGGCGCTCGGGCTGCCGCAGCTCCCGGCTCCGTGCGCCTGTGGGGCCGAGAGGCCGCCTCATCCCTTCCCTACTGCGGGCGCCTCTGCCCACGGCCTGTGCCCACAGCGGCCCCAGCCCCCTTCCTGCCCGGGGCTTGGCCCAGAAATCGTCCTCGACTGATTGTGCATCAGTGTGCGTAGCTGCAAGTACTGCCAGAGAACCTTCCCATTGCCTTCCCCCTTTCCCTCTTTCCCCCTTTCCCCCTTTCCCCTTCCCCCCTTTCCCCCCTTCCCTTTCCCTCTTCCCTCACCTCTTTCTCCTTCCATTTCTCTTTCCCCCTTCCTCTCTCCCCTTCCCCTTTCTCTTTCCCTCCTTCCTTTTCCCCCTTTCCCTCTCCCCTTTCCTTTTCCCCTTCCTCTTTCCTCCTTTGCTTTCCCTTCCATCTTCCCCCTTTTGCCTTTCCCGCTTCCCCCTTTCCCTTCCCGCTTCCCCCTTTCCCTTCCCGCTTCCCCCTTTCCCTTCCCGCTTCCCCCTTTCCCTTCTCTCTTCCCCCTTCCCCTTCTCTCTTCCCCCTTCCCTCTTTCCCCTTCCCCTTCCCAACATTCTACTCCCTGCAGAAAACAAGCATGGATAGCTGAGAAAAGCTGACCTTAGCCATAATTTTGTTAAAGCTGTGATTTTTTAAAGAGGAAATAGGAACAGAGATGAATATTGTGGAAGGAGGGATTGCTCCTGCTCAGTAGAAGGAAGTTTTTTCATGTGCGAGACTGGATTTTTTTTTCATCCTTCTTTCTTTTCTTGCCTTAAGCTTCAATAAGCTTCGAAGAACCTCTCCACACCTGAAGCAATTCCTGGGTAGGACCTTTCCAGTCACTGTGATGACGTAGATGTAACTTTACCATTAACTGCAAGTCTTTGATGCCTTGATTTTTCTCAAATTTTGTACCTACTAAAAGCTTTCACAACTGAAATAATCATAGAGCTGTATTGTGAAGTAGAGAAAGTAGGGCAGTATGGAACACTTAATTACGACATTAATGTGAAAAGGACTTTACAAAGACTGTTTCATACAGATATAGATGACATACATGCAGACACATGGCACAGACTTTCAGACAAATACACAGGCCTTGTGTAAGGAGGGTTCTTCGGTGATTGAAGCTGGTCAGTTAAGTAGTAAAATTATTTGATTCAGATGGTGATATCCTGAAATTTCTTGTGAGTTGTTTGCTTATGTAATTACATTCACAATTGAAAAAATCAGTAGGATTTAAAATTAGGTTTAAAACTGCCAAAAAGTATGAACCATAGCGGCTTTCTTAGTTAGATATAAAGATTCTGAAAAGAATGTCAAAATGTTATTGCAACAAGAGTCAAGAAATACCAATGAAAATTGTGATTAGTGAATCCAAGAGCCAGAATTTCTCTGCAGAGAAAGCATTGATACTTAAAAGGACACATGCAATTTCTGAGGACAGCAGAAGACATGAGAAACATTTCTAAAAATAGATTATGTTAAAAATAAAAATAACCATGGGATACTTATCTAAAATGAGTTTTTTTTTTTTTTAAGAAACTTCCTGTCTCATCTCTAACAGTCTAAATTAAATGTCCACCGGGCAGGCTGCATAAACTGCCAGCCCTTCTCCTAAGAAAAACAGCTGAACTAAGCTGCCACATTTTGAATGTAACTAGAACTGAAAATTCAGACAACTGAATTTTAATGTTTAGAAAAACATCCTAAATTGCCAAGTTCAAGATGATTAATATCATGTTAAAGTATGATTCACTATATCTGTAAATTATTCATGGCATTATAATAGTGTCATCATGCTGGGAGGGTGCTTGACTAGTGGTAGATATAATTAGGCCACTAATTATATCTAAACTTAGTGTTTGAATATGCATA